CACTATGAATTGGTTGCAGCTCGTCCTTATCACCACCTCTCAAGCTCAATTCAAACAGAATAGAGACCGTTATGTAAGATAACCATATTCTTACTGATCATAATTCCTTTCTTCACTCCATTTTTGTCGGAGAAAAGAGTTATCCCCCTCTCCTGCATTTCCCTTTCCCCCTCTCTTCTCCCTCTTCTTCACAAACCGATCCCTAAACCAGCAACAACAACACAAAAATAGCCTTCGCCTCTCCCGTCTCCATCTATTGAACGCGTTGGTGGCAAGACAGGACTGCAGAAGCAAAATTTTCTAAAATCATACTAAATTTTTTGAAGCAGACTCAACCACGAAAAAAGAGTAAAGCAACAATGCAGTAGAACCCTAAATTTAACTACAATCAAGCACATATCAGCAAGATTTTCGATTTGTCTGAGAGTTAACTACACGGAGAGAACAATTGATGCATAATTGAAATGCTCCAAGCAAGTTGAAGGCAAACCATAACTTTAGAATTTGGTCATTATAATAAGGGTTAATACCTTAGTTTGGCCCGAACTATACAATACTTTCTACTTTGGCCCGTGGTATTGGAAATTGCTATTATAGCCTGAACTATGTAGCAAACTTCCTCATTTGGCCTGGAGGCGGGTTTGACCGTTAAATTAGACGGTCAAACTTGTTGACCGTTAGTCAATGTCCACCTCACCTGCCACGTCAGCTTTGAGGACATAATTTTTTTTTTATTTCTGAATTTATTTTCTTTCGATTAGTAAAAATAATAAATCAAAAAAATTAATTAGCAAAATGACAAGAAAACAAAACTCAGAAATAAAAGAAATATATTTTTTATGTCCTCAAAGCTGACGTGGCAGGTGAGGTGGACATTGACTAACGGTCAACAGGTTTGACCGTCTAATTTGACGGTCAAACCCGCCTCCGGGCCAAATGAGGAAGTTTGCTACATAGTTCAGGCCAGAATAGCAATTTTCAATACCACGGGCCAAAGTAGAAAGTATGTGTATAGTTCACGCCAAACTAAGGTATTAACCCTTATAATAGCCTTCAAGTATTGATGCTTCTAAGAACTATCATGTCCAACCCCCACTTATACAACTACGTAGCCATAGTAATTAGTTGTATAATGAGAAATATTACAAAGAAAACTACATAAACAACCAATGTAAGTAAATATTAAAACTAACAACCGATAAAACTTAAAATCTCTCTATTGATATAAATGTATCTATTAGTAACTACTATGCAATCGAGTATATATGATTTTTAGGCACTGAATAAGAAAAGTATAGATGGCTCACAAATGAAGACGTAGCAACTGAAGGTAGCACACAAAAACCAAAAATAGAAAAAGAGATAAGAAAAAAGGCGAGAAAAAGTCAAACAAAGAAAAAGCCCACATAGGAATACCTCGCTAGCTTTAGGGACTCTCTGCCACAACAAACAACCTTCTTAAAAATCTAACACCCTGAGACATCAAACAAACCTCCCACGACACTAATGTATGGCATTCCTATTGTCCAATAGGTTTGCCCAATTTAGACTTCTAAATAAATGGACTTTTCACCATTAAACCAAAACTCACAATCATTAACAGTTAATGCAAAGACATACATTTCTGAGGCCAATCACAGCATTTAAGCATAATTTTTAGTTGAAAAGAACAACTAAGTATTTAGCTAAATGATATAGTAGAATGGACACAATCTGCTACCTACTAATGATATAAACGTGTACCGGTACCATCGTTGTATCCTGACTTGCCATTTGTAACGGGCACTTTGAAAGACAGCTGCATTTTAGAGAATAAACACCCATAAGGGCGTTACGAAACCAAGCTTAATCCAAAATCTTCATATTCCACTTCGAAGACTCCATTTTCAAAAATAAGAGAGTTTAAGATGTCAAATCACTCATTTGAAAAATCTCAAACAACTATTAATCAATGCAATATAAAGGCACGTTCCAAATTATGTACTTGTAGGAATAATCCCAAATAATTATCAATTAATGCCCCAACTACCTAATGTGCAGAATAGCCCTGGAGCTGTGCTGTTGTTTGCGTTGGTCTACCTTCAAACATAACATAGTTGCATCACGAACCAAAGCAATTAAGCAAAAATCTTCATATTCCAAGTAGAATGACTCAATTCAATTTGGCCAACGCTTTATACATATTGTTTACCCCTGGACCTGTTGCACTTGCGCCTTCAGATCTTCGTGAACACAATACAATTGCGGAGAGGAGGCTGTCAACGGAATAAAAATTGTTAATTAAGTGAATCACCACACAACTAAACAAACGCGCTCTTCTTGATTAGCTATCAAAATAGTGGGGGTCGCTACAATCCATCGGTTGCTCCCTCGGCGCCTAAGTTGTAGATATTAGGTTTCAGTGAGAACTTTGAGTACATGAGGAGATATTTTGTAGTGGAGGAGATGACCCGGCGAGTAGAATAGGAAGATTTGGAGAGGCTGCGATGGGCAAAGCATTTAAAATCGAGATTTTACCTAAAATCGAAAACTGGGGTAAAATCAAAATCGTATAATCGAATCGTAAAATCGTAGGATTTTAAGTACCATATAGAACATACCATATAAGAATATTAATAAGGTAATTTATTAATATCACAAAGACACATAGAATTTAAAATGATAATTCAGAAGATTTTTTTTCCATAAGATAATTCTCAAGATTAATGTTCCAAAATCACTATTTTAATTGTTATTTAATGTGTAACTCAAAATAATTCATGATGAAGGGATATAGTTCATGGGTTTGGCTCTTATTTTCATGTTATGTCTAGGTTGTTTAACTCAAAGTAATATTTCGACATCGTCTACTAAGTATGATTTAAAACTAAAAATAATTGAACTCCAATAAAATAAGTTATGTTAGTGGCTTGGTACAAATATATTCATTAATAAATTAATTAGTTAATAATGATGTTAGTTCTTGCATACTTCCAATATTAGGACAGGTGTTTTACCAATAAGTTAAATGGGATGAAGGTAAAGAGATTAACCGAACCCTAATTTGGTTATTTTTATTATTTCTGAATATTTTTCTAATAGAAAAATATCCGAGAAGATTCCATTGCCCTTTCCGCTGAAACAGTTATACTTATTTTAAATTGGCTCAAACCACCTATTTTGTTCTCTTACGATCAAAAATCCGATTTCGGTACTATTTTACGATTTTAACGATTTTAGTCCCGATTTTAAACGATTTTAAGGTCCACCGATTTTATAGTAAAATCAAGATCGGAATCCCTAAGTAAAATCCTAAAATCCTACGATTTTACGATCAAAATCCCGAATTTGACTGCATTGGCGATGGGTGCACGATTAGTGGGCCAAATAACAGTTTGGGCCCGTTTAAATGAAAATATATTTTTACTTTCGTGCTCAACAGACCGACCGCATTGGCATCTTCTAAATTTACCCCTAAAAAATTGCTCTGTACGCATCAAATTTGAAATGGAATCTTTCTTTTCTCATTTCACATTTCACATTTATATGATGTGTAGATTGTGATGAGTGTAGATGTAGACCTGTCATTGTCCTACAAATTCATTAACACGCCAAAAAGTGGTGAAATGAGCCACCCTATTAAACACAATCTTGTATAATGATCATTGGATCCAATCATGCCAGATTATGAAGAAGTTTAAAATGTAGCGGTTATCCCGACTAAAACATTAAAAGAACCAGTCTCATATAGTTTGCACAAAGATATAATTTCTCCATAGTAATTCTGAAAAATAATATTAATTTAAGAAGTCGATATTGCTTCTACATGTTTAATATTGCAATTCGATATGCAATATTCGAACCAGTGATATTTGGGTTGCAATTTTAGGGTTATTGTATATTTATAAAATAGATAGAAATTTAAATTAAGTATTAAACTACAACTAAAATAATCAAAGTATTAAAACACCAAATGAGTACTTACGGGAGATTCAGTGGCCAACTAATCGTTAAAAAAGTCATATGATTTTCATAATTTAGGTTCGTGTATGTTTGAATTTAAATAGATACAACAAATATACTTAGTGTGATTGGTTATGATCCTTGCTTGTCTTTAAAGAGACCAAGGTTCAAATCCCAGTGCATGACTTTTTTATGAATAAATAAATAAGGAAATAAGCAATTGTGAAGACCAAAATGTCCTTCCTATAATCACTCTCGTTGCAGGAAATTTGAAATGGAGCAACACTTTTCATCATTCGGCTTTTATTTATTATCTAGATTTATCGCTTAAAGATTAAGCCTATATTTGGCACGGCTTTTATAAGTGCTTTTCGGTTTGAAAAACTGAGTAAGACCAAACATCTCGAAAAGGCTTTTGAAAAGTTGAAAAGTGTTTTTGTATAACATAAAAGAAGAAGTTTTGATTTGGAGTTTCGACAAAAAAACTGTTTTGACTTTTGACAAATACAAGATTATCCTTACCATATTTTAATTTTACTTTAGATAATATAATTTTCTTTCATTAATATCATTTTAAAAATAAAAACATAAAATTATATTATTTAATATAAAAGAAATCTAACAAGATCCATATGGACTATTTTTTATTTTCTAAAATTTGTATTTGTATTTTATATTATAAATTCTTTATAGTCATTTTACATAACATCTTATATTAAAAGCACTTATAATAGTTTTTCAGTCAAATACTCTAACTTGAAAAGTACTTCTCCAAAAGCTCCGGCGAGAAGCTGATTCTGAAAAAATTACAACAGGCTAAACGCCTTAAAACTATTTTCTTGTGTATTGGTGATATTTTGAAATAATTTGTGGATATTGGGGATTTTATGGGCTTTTAGAATCATTGATAGCTTTAGTAATTCTACAAAATAAGAGTACAATTCTACTCCAATCCATCTACAATTTGTCGTTTATTTCTATTCGTTGCGCGCCTAAATGGATCCTCAATCAAACTCAAACACCAAAATAGGTTTGTACAAGGTTGGTCTGATTGTGAAATCTGTACGCGGGAAGTAATTATTTTGGTAGCTGTTTCTTTCATTAAACACCTCGAAATCACATACCAAAAAATATCTCAACTCAACGCCTAAAACAAGGGCGTTGAACAGCCAGCCATCGCCCCCAAGGTCAAATGTCTCCTGGATGCCGTCAGCCATGACCATCAAATCAAGATTAGTTAAGATATCAGAAATAATTAACACAAAGTCCACCTGTATACTGTGTCTGGAAGGAAGCAGGTAGCCAACTGCCCGAATTGTCAGCCATCATGACAAACAAAGAACCCTCCCTGAAAATCAGCCAGCTTGATTGGAAGACAGGCACCACACCACCACCAGTGGTTATCAATCATTTTTTAGGGCAAAAAGTCGTTTCTCCATCCATCTATGGACACTTCCACCATTTATCATGTCCAGACATTACCGCCGTTAGTATCTGGTTGGTTACACTTACACACAAGGGTTCCGGCTTCCCTGCCATTTTGGCTGTTCCGACGAGCCTGAGGTACTGTGCTGGTCAGGTCTCTAGTCAAGTCCTGCTATTATTTCTGACCCCAAAGATGTAGACATGATCTGCCGTACAGCCCAGCAGCAACTTGCCTCCATGCCGAGAGCCAACCGCTGCCTCATTTGAATATTCATTATCTAGATAAACAGTCTCACAGCCATCAGTTTGACCGAGTCTCTGGTCAACCAAATCACTTGAATGATTGAAGCTTACCAGATCGAGAGACAAGTGGTAGAACCGTAGAAGTCTCTTCTGCTAATTTGCTGCCATAGGCTATCAGAATCAGAGCAAATCCTGATTTTCTTCAATGGCAACACTGTTGCTTAATCCACTCCTAGTTTTGTTACTTTCTCTCCTGGCATCTCATTCCCTTCTGGTTTCAGCTCAGCGGGGAAACGCAGACCAGTTCATCTACAATGGCTTCACTGGATCAAATCTCACCATCAGTGGGATGGCAACCATCCACCCAAATGGCATCTTGGAGCTAACAAACACCTCGAAGCAACAGATCGGCCACGCTTTCTTCCCGTTTCCAATCCACTTCAACGCTTCTCCATCCAGCAATTCAAGTTCGAGCAGCCCCAATGGAGTGCTCTCGTTCTCAACGACCTTCGTGTTTGCCATGGTCCCCGAGACACCAACGCTTGGAGGTCACGGCATAGCCTTTGTCGTCTCGCCTTCTTCCGAGTTCCAGAATTCCATTGCAACTCAGTACCTCGGACTCTTCAACTCCACCACCATCGGGCTGTCTTCGAATCATCTGATGGCCATCGAGCTCGACACTGTTATGAACCCTGAGTTTGACGACATCAACAATAACCATGTCGGGATAGACATCAACAACTTGACATCCATTCAATCTGCAGCGGCTGCATACTTCAATACTGAAGGTGAAGCAAATGAGTTGGAGCTCATGAGTGGAGAACCTATGCAGGTTTGGGTACAGTACCGTGCACGAGAGAGGCAGTTAAATGTGACACTTGCTCCTGTAAGAACCAGAAGAAAACCAGAGAAACCACTCCTATCATCCACGATAGATCTTTCTTCTATTCTATTTGATCAAATGTACATTGGTTTCTCAGCATCCACAGGCTCGGTTGCCAGCCATCATTACATTCTCGGGTGGAGCTTCAACTTATCCGGCCCTGCTCAGGATCTTGACATCTCTAGCCTCCCATCACTGCCAGATGATAGAGACTCAGGAAGAGGAGGACCCAACTTAAAGATTCTACTTCCAACCATAGTAGGGATTCTCTTGATCCCAACAGTTGCTCTGACCATCTACTTCACGAGGAAGAGATATGAAGAACTGCGGGAAGATTGGGAAGAGCAATATGGTCCTCAGAGATTCACCTACAGAGAACTCCACAAAGCAACCAAAGGGTTCAAAGACAGCCAGGTTTTGGGATCCGGAGGTTTTGGGAAGGTTTACAGAGGAACCCTACCTGCCTCCAATGTCGAAGTCGCGGTGAAGAAAATCTCGCACAATTCCAGTCAAGGTATGAAGGAATTCATAGCGGAAATCGCCAGCATGGGAAGGCTGCGCCACCGGAACTTGGTGCAGCTGCTGGGCTACTGCCGACGAAAGGGCGAGCTGTTCTTGGTCTATGATTACATGCCTAATGGAAGCCTAGACCAAACACTGTTCAGTAGCAGCAAAGACAAAGACGGAGCAACGAATACCAATCTCAACTGGGGACAGCGTTACCAGATCGTGAAAGGAGTCGCCGCCGCGCTGGTTTACCTCCACGAGGAATGGGGACAAGTGGTGATCCACCGAGATGTGAAGGCCAGCAACGTCCTGCTGGACGCCGATCTCAACGGCCGGTTGGGGGATTTCGGGCTGGCCCGGTTCTACGACCACGGATCCGACCCGCATACGACCAATGTGGTGGGGACGATCGGGTATTTGGCGCCGGAGCTGAGCAGGACGGGGAGGGCGACGACGAGCAGCGACGTTTTCGCGTTTGGGGTTTTCATGCTGGAGGTCGCGTGTGGAAGGAGGCCCGTGGTGGAGGCGCGTGAGAGGGCGGAGGAGGCGGTTTTGGTGGATTGGGCGGTGGAGTGCTGGCGAAGAGGCGAGATCTTGAAAACCTGCGATCCTAGGCTGCAGGGGAATTATGTGGTGGAGGAGATGGAGATGGTGTTGAAGCTGGGGCTGATCTGTGCTCACCGCTCGCCGGCGGCGAGGCCGACGATGAGGAAGGTGATGCAGTTTCTGGATAAGAACGTGGCCTTGCCGGAGATTTCTCCGCAATCAGCCGGGGTTGGGGATCACCGTCGCCGGGGTGGATCGGGAGATTGGGTTGTGCAGTTTCATGTATCCACTGATGAAATTTCAGGTTCTTATTCCTTCTCTGATGCGGATTCGATCCTCAGCACTGGTCGGTGACAATGATTCTGACTGCTGAGGTTCGTAGCTGAAGCAGCAATTTCCCGATCAGGAAAGGAAAACGAAAAAGTAACCACTAGAAAATTTCTTGAGTTTTATTTTTAGCCCCCGGTTGTTTCGTTATACTTCTTTTTTGTCATAATTATCCTTGCGGATAAAATGGTTGAGACTTAAGAGCAAAGAATATCACAAGAGAGGATCGGCATTTTTGCCCTCACAGAGTCACAGACAATATAACAAATTAGAGACAAAAAACGAAAAAATCATAAAGAACAATACTAACACCAAGAAAGGGTAGGGTCTAATATGCCACATACTGCTCGCCCGATTCACCTATCGAGATTTGTAGACAAATTGTACGAATGAGATCGAGCAACGAGTGTGCCTCGCTTAGCAACGCTCCTGCATGAGCATCATGAATAGATCTCGATTCCAATTGTCGCAAAACAACTTGAGTATCGCCACTAATAGTAAGTTAGTAACTGCACGAGCCTATCAATGCCACCGGCAAATGAGAAGGAGGGCCTCTTGAGCAGCAAGTTTGACTACGGCAGGATCCACAATGCCAGGGAAGGAATGACCAAAGAAAAAAACCAACGCATCCCCAACAAAACCGACAATACCTACTGCCCCATGCGTTGGGTTATTTTGTGGCTCCATCGACAGCAATGCAGAAGCCACGGACCCATGATGATGACCATTGTTATAAACGCGCTGCTACGGATCGGGAAATCGCCGGAATCGACAAAGCAAGAATACGAAAGCGAGAATCGAAAACACGACACACGATTTACGTGGTTCACTAACACGATGTGTGTTAGCTACATCCACGGGCGAGAGAGAGCCGATTTCACTATATCGAGGAGATTACAGATTACAGAGGAGTATGAGAAGTATTTATAGCACTTCTCCATGTGGGTCTAAACCTAATCCAATCTGACAGTCGTAGCGGCTGATAGTCCGATTCAAGTCATATCAACAAATCTCCACCTTGACTTGAATCCTCTTCCTCTGAAATCTCTGATGTACTCTGCTCCTTCTCTCTCTCCCGCCATCAATGCCCCGTAGGGCGGAGTCACCCACTCAAGACATTCAGCAAGTCCAAGCAGTGTTGGAACTTGCCATGTGGAACCGGCTTCGTGAACATATCAGCAGGATTATCCGCGGTGCCAACCTTCTTCACCTTAATCCTCTTCTCTGTCCTCAAGAAATGATACCTCACATCGATATGCTTAGTCCTCTCATGGTGGACTTGATCCTTGGCCAAGCATATTGCACTCAAACTATCGCAATACACCACTGCCTGATCATGATGTAGACCCAGATCACCCACTAGTCCCTTCAACCATATTCCCTCCTTAGCAGCTTCTGTCAACGCCATATACTCTGCCTCAATAGTAGACAATGTCACCGCTGACTGCAGAGTTGCCTTCCAGCTCACTACAGAACTCCCAAGAGTGAATACATAACCGGTCATCGATCTCCTCGTGTCAACATCTCCAGCATAGTCCGAGTCAGAATACCCAGACACCAAGCACTCTGCATCACTTCCGAAGCTAATCCCCACATCAGGTGTACCCTTAAGGTACCGGAAGATCCTCTCACAGCCTGCCAATGCTCCTTCCCATGTTGTATCATAAACATGCTGACAACACTAACAGCATGTGCAAGATCAGGTCTAGTGCATACCATACCGTACATCAAGCTACCTACTGCACTAGCATATGAGACTCTCGACATGTACTCCTTCTCAGCCTCTGACTGTGGTGCATAAGCTGAGGATAGATGAACATTTGAAGCACTAGGAGTATTTAAGGGCTTTGCTGAAGACATGCCAAACCTCGACAATATCTTTTGGATGTAGCTCTTCTGTGACAAGAAAAGCTTCTTCTTCGACCTGTCCCTGTAAATCTCCATACCCAAAATCTTCTGAGCAGCTCCCAAATCCTTCATCTCAAACTCAGCATTGAGAAGCCCCTTTAACTTCTGGATATCAGACTTTGACCTCGCAGCTATGAGCATATCATCCACATACAGAACTAGATATATCATCGAACCATCCTCTGCCTTGCTGTGATATACACAAAAATCATATGGACTTCTGCTGTAGCCCAGCTCAAGCATGTAACTGTCAAATCATTTGTACCACTGCCTCAGAGATTGCTTAAGTCCATACAAGGACTTCTTCAGCTTACAAACATAGTCTTCTTTTCCCGGAACCTCGAATCCTTCTGGCTGAGTCATGTAAATTTCTTCCTCCAACTCTCCATGTAGGAAAGCTGTCTTCACGTCTAGCTGCTCGAGCTCCAAGTCATAATGTGCCACTATTGCTAGTAGCACTCTGATCGAAGTATGTCTGACCACTGGTGAGAAAATCTCATTGTAGTCAACTCCTTCCCTCTGCGAGAAGCCTCGTGCAACCACTCGAGCATTAAATTTCATGCCCTCTTTAGAAGTGATTCCTTCCTTCTTCTTGTAGATCCACTTGTTTGTAACAATCTTCCTTCCCTATGGTCATTTGACTAGCTCCCAAGTCTGATTCCTGTCATGGGATTCCATCTCATCTCCCATTGCGGCAAGCCACTGATCAGCTTCACCACCCGAAACTGCTTCTCTATAGGACTGTGGCTCTCCTGCATCCACTTCCTCAGCAACCTGAAATGAATACGCCACCATGTCCTCGAAGCCATACCTCTGTGGAGGTACTCCTGCAGTCGCTCTCTTCGGTCTACCGGAAGCAATAGACTGTTTAGCTCGTGCACTGGACTCTGAAGTTTCTGGCTCTGCAGAGACATCCTCATCATGTTGATCTTCTCCACCTTGGTGCTCAAACTCACTCTCATTGAGAGTTTGCAGCTCCACCTGCTTATCAACATTCCTGCTACCTTCAGCAACAGTAACCTTCAACATGGGGTTAAACATAGACTTCTCATCAAATATCACATTTCTACTAAGTATAACTCGATGCTCAGAAGGTGACCAGACTCAAAATCCCTTAACTCCATCTCCGTAACCCACAAATACACCCTTCTTTGCCCTTGGGTTCAGTTTACCCTCATCCACGTGATAATAAACAGGACACCCAAAAACTTTCAGTGAAGAGTAATCAGCAGGCTTACCATACCACACTTCATAAGGAGTCTTACACTCGATACCTGTGTGTGGTCCACGGTTGATCAGGAAGCACGCCATGTTTACTGCTTCTGCCCAGAATCTTCTCTCTAGTCCAGCATTAGAGAGCATGCACCGTGCTCTCTCCAACAATGTATGGTTCATCCTTTCTGCAACGCCATTCTGCTGGGGTGTATCTCTAACAGTCCGATGACGGGCAATCCCTTCATCCTTGCAGAATTCGTTGAACTCAGAATTACAGAACTCCAGACCATTGTCCGTTCGCAGCTTCTTGATCTTCTTACCGGTCTGATTCTCCACCAATGTCTTCCACTTCTTGAACTTCGTGAAAGCCTCACTTTTCTGCTTCATCATGAAAATCCAAGTAAATCTCGAATAATCATCAATAATAGACAGAAAATACCTGCTGCCTCCAATGGATTCAACTCGTGAAGGACCCCAACAGTCGGAGTGGAGGTAATCCAGAATCCCCTTCGTCCGGTGGATACCCTTCTTGGGAAACTTGCTGCGATGTAGCTTCCCAAACACACAATGCTCACAAAATTCCAAATTCTGCACCTTGTGCCCGCAAAGAAGATCCCTCTTCGATAGAACTTGCATCCCCCGTTCACTCATATGCCCCAGTCTCATGTGCCAGAGAGTGGTCATATCTTCCTGTTGAACCTGAGACGATGCAACTGCAGCAGAACCAGACAACACAGACCCTTGTAATGCATACAAGGTCCCACGCTTCACGCCCTTCAGTACCTTCCTCGAACCCTTGCAGACATACACAACTCCACCTTTTCCTTTGAAGCTGAAACCCTTGCTGTCGAGTAGACTCAAGGAGATCAGGTTCTTTGTCATTCGTGGAACATGCCTGACATCATTCACGGTACAGAATGAACCATCATGTGTCCGAACTTTTATGGACCCGATTCCAACAACCTTGCAGACAGCTCCATTAGCCATGACCACGTTACCACCATCTATCTGCTCGTAGGTTGTGAAGCAATCCCTGTTCGGAGACATATGGTATGAGGCTGCAGTATCCAGAAACCACACATCACCACGATGTGCCTTCTCATCTACAGCCAAGGCGAGATCGTCTTCAGAACTATTGTCCACTTCTGCCACGGCAACTGAACCTTGTTTCTTCTGTTTCCCTCTTCTCTTGGGACAGTTGTACTTCCAATGCCCCACTTCCTTACAGTTGTGATAAGCATCACCTGGCTGTGGACCGGGACCCTTGGAATTCTTGCTCGAATTCCCTTTACCAGATTTCTTCTTTCCCTTTCCACTTGTAACAGCCAAACCCGATGCCTCACCACCTGTACCAGAACCAGACGCCTTATGCCTGATCTCTCTCGTATGAAGAGCAGACCTGACATCCTCCAACGACACGCTTTCTTTACAGGCAATAAAAGAATCAACGAAATTCTTATATGAACTCGGCAAAGAAACCAGCAGGATTAGGGCAGCATCCTCGTCATCAACTTGAACATCTATATTACGCAGATCCAGCAAAATAGAGTTAAGATGTTCGAGATGTTCCCTCAAAGGCGTACCTTCTTGCATCCTCAATCTGAACAACCGTTGCTTGAGATGCAGCTTGTTGGTTAGAGACTTTGTCATATACAGACTCTCCAGTTTCAACCACAAGCCCACGGCAGTCTTCGCAACAGCGACTTCAATGATGACGTCATCAGACAACGATATCATGATGGTCGAGTGGGCCTTCTCCTCCAGGGTATTCCACTCATCGTCATCGACCGTTGCCTTCTTGTGTTTCGCAGACAGCGGCCCCCACAGCCCTTGCTGTTTTAATAAAGCCTGCATCTTGATCTGCCATATAGCGAAGCTGTTCTTCCCCGTGAACTTTTCGATCTTCATGTTCACCGACGTCATTCTTCTGAATCGAAAACCCTAGCCTGATTTCCAGCCGCGGCTCTGATACCACTTGTTATAACGCGCTGCTACGGATCGGGAAATCGCTGGAATCAAAGCAGTTAAAATCGGGATTTTACCTAAAATCGAAAATTGGGGTAAAATCGGAATCGTAAAATCGAATCGTAGAATCGTAGGATTTTAAGTACCATATAGAAATTAACATATGATAATATTAATAAGGT